AGGTTATCATTCAGCCACTCAGGCACCTGAGGGAAAACCAATAACTGACCGGTATCGTTCATCTAGAACGACAATACTTCAAACTCAGGTTAGAGACTTTTAAATGTAAGAAATCATGCATAATCTAATATGTATCATAGCAACACTGCACACCAGGAGACTCAGGCACCAAGGTTGGACTTTCAAGTCAGTTTTCTCAATTTGTATTTACGTTCGAATAGGCTATAGCAAGATCGGTCGATCAAGGTAATTGTTATGTCTATGCAGCTATATTTTTATGACACGACTAAAATCCCTCTTCTAATATCGTTGTTTAAATGATATCTACATCCTAATATAATTTTCAGCTTCCACTAATGTCATCCAACAAACTTACTAAAAACGTGCATTTCTCATCATTTGACCAGATTTTCCCTCCTAACATTACTCGGCGAATTTCCCCCCAATTTGATAACAATTTTCGCATCTTCTGAAATCACTCATCCAGGTTAAAATCACTCAACAGGATCTCAATTTTCTGAGATTGTCATCCTGGGTCAGCAAGGTTCCTATTATCCTACACCCCGTGGGCGCTCATTCCCCTGGCCTACAGGTCAGTGCCGTGGTAGCCCCAGGGTAGGTCATGCTATTTCAAGCCGCCCTCAGGTCGATTCTCGTATCGATCAAGCGACCAGCGAGCAAACAGACGCCTCTCTAACTCCATGCTCTTTGTCCTACTACAAAAATTTCCTCTCTGTCTTCTTCACAATCTATTCTCTCGTTTCTGAACTCATCATTCCTGGACATGTGTCAATCCGCGACGTAAAATCGGGTCAATGATATTCGATAGACGTAACGAATCTGAAAACAATAGCTGCTAAATTTTTCGTTGAGAGAAATTTTCCAGCCAGTGAACATCAGACTCGTACTCTTTCATGCTCAAAAATCTTATCTCTGTGTACAACGTAAAAATCGGTGGTTAAATCATATACGATTCGATCCGCTAACTCTGAGCATGAAACCCTCTTCAGTGTTTTCATTAAAGATTAACTTAAACAATTTATTATCATTCTGTGATAATTACAAAGCATATTTTGACATCACTCTTAAATGATGTCGAAATGATGTCTTATTTCGACATCACACAATACCAACTAGCCGTAGAGCGCTCACAGGAAGGCACAGGATCTTTAATTTTCAATGCCATCACTGAAGAGATCCTCCCATCATTCCATCGACCGTTGACTTGATCTTGGCGTGGGCCGATGAAATTTAGTTAGCCACTTGAACGTTCTATTTTATCACACCTTTCATGCCACCAAAACATATATCCGTCTAGCAACCGTCTAGAATTACGCCGTAATGCGCAGGTCAACGCCCCGTTTTAAAGATGTTGTTCGTGGACTTTATTGAGTCCTCAGGCGCCTGCCCACGCCTTTTATTTGTTCAAATTAATGATTTTAATCGATTGCGTACAGCTGTCTGATCTCCGAAATGTACGTGTCGATGATCAAAGATGTTTCATTTCATTAAATGTTATAAATATTTATTGTTAAAAGAAGTTAATTTAGAGCATTACAGATTAGGACGTAAACTTGGCGACATCTATAACTTTCATTTTTCCGTAATCTTCTTCTCTACAAAGCATGTCCGCTAGAGCGCTTTTAATGCAAGACTGGCATTGACATTCATAGTATGGAATGGCGCATCATATACAAATTTAAAGTATCTAATAGGTAGTTCACTAACAAAAATAAACCTCTCCCTCCTTTGGAGTTTCAAAATTCCTGAACACCTACAACAAATTGCGGCACCAGTTAGGCGGCCAACGGCGTGCACACAAATGATCTCGCCAATCAAACGGAAGCTACGCTTCCGTTTTACGCTATTTGCGCTAAACTTCATTTTGATCGCAAACATTCGGTCAATATTCAAGCGCTTTGTATTGTGTGTGACGACACAATGAACATGACGGCATTGTTCTGCGACTCTTGTAACAGTGAAAAACGCGTCGATCAAATAAGCAATTTGATCGACGCGAGCAATTCATTTAAAACTCGTATACTCGTATTGTTTTTTTTTTATTCTGATAAAATATCATTATATATATTTAAATACTTGTTTTTAAGGTTGAACTCGCACTTCAGTTGAGGAACTAATGTTAGCATGAACAGAAGTGAATTATGAAAGTATGAATTATATATTATGAAAGAATTATTCGATCCTTGGACGCGAATTATGAGGTTTTTACGAGCAGGAGGCGTTCGTGTCACGCCCTCGCTCGTTGACGTTACCTGAGACCTTCTACGACATTATTGATAGCGACCTCGACCTCTGGGGTTGCAGCGGCTCAAATATCTGCGAGCAAGCATAGACCTTTTGTTATAAAGCATAGACCTTTTGTTGTAAAATTTTCGTATTTAGTAGAAAATGTCTTCAAGCAGTGATGTAATTCTTGTTGAGATTTTACGCATTGGCTTAATATAAATGACCATAATATAAATTTTTAATTATACGTGTAATGTTTCATTTCAGCAAATATATGAATAAATATATTAAAAGAGATATGAAACACGACGTTCCCTAAGAGATTACTCAAAATAGATAGATAACGCAATCGTGCTCACATCGCCGGATGAGAGTACAGTTAGCTTCAAGGCTGTGGCAATTATTCAATATTTGTAACTATTCAGAGTATTGGCAATTATTCAATATTTGTAACTATTCAGAGTATTGGCAATTATTCAATATTTGTAATTATTCTGAGTAGTGGCAATTATTCAATATTTGTAATTATTCTGAGTAGTGGCAATTAGTCAGTAAATATTCTGAGCGTCCTATAACAATATAAGGATAAATTTTACAGGACTAAGTTGAACGTTGCGATTGATTAGCACAAAGTTTTAATTGCACGGCCGAATTTTATTAACACTTGTATTATTATCATATTGCTCGTATTTATGCAACGAATAATTTGTTAAGATAAGAACATAATCAAACGAAGTATATGACGGAACCACGCAACTTATTTATGAAAGTCATCGGATTAACGTTTTCCGATGTGATCCTTTTTCATTTAATTAGGCAAGGCTATAAGTAGGGCTAATACAAACTCTGGTTAACTCATAGATTATTAATAAATGAATGATACCTCTAATGAATGAAATTTATTTGCGCTATCAAACACAAATGCGGCCATGATGCGTTCGAGAAATCTGTCGTACTTTGCATTTGGTCTTCAATATCACGATGTTTAACCCTAGGTTGGAACATCTATCGTGTATAAACTGGCCTTAAAACTTGCCAGTTAAAGTTATAAATGATATTAGCGGCGTAGTTAATGCAAATTATACTTGATTTTATTATGCAAAAATTCCACTTTCATGGTTGACGAATTCGCTACAGATGCCTCGTTTCAAGTTGCGTCTCCAACTTGAATTCGAACACAAACTGCTTGACTCTTTTTTTATTATTTTGCCGATATTAAACCCTGGATTGTTTCAATTTTGTTCATTTACTTCCTAACGACTTAAATTTGTTACTATAACTTCACTATCATGGTTCAAGAAGTTATATGCTTGTATAGTTCTACACAAATGATGAATTCTAATCTGCAATATATTCTGAATTCTAATCTGCAATCCCTTTATAAGATGCTAATCTCTTTATAGGACATTATTCTCATTGAATACTATGATGCAGTCATTCAATAATATGATTCCATCATTAAATACATTGCTTGATTCATTAAATTAAATCGATTCGGCCATTATATATAAATTGCAGATTAGAATTAATTACAGAAGCGTCTTCTTACTATGATCTTCTTACGTGACACAATCAAATGAGTCATAATCAAATCATTCTCGCAAAGCAAAGACATTGAAAATTAATGAAATGGAAATTTTAACTCAATTATCAGTTAACTGTTATAATTTTTTATAGTTAAACTGGATTTTTAAGATGATACTCCTGACTGAATATATATCATTCAGCTATACCCACGTAAACAAAATATGACACAAATGTATCGGTGCTCAGAGGATATAACCGCCGAAAGCGAACATTATTGCATCGCGCGAGTCTCAACCCCCACCGCCCTGGACCTCTACACACACAGTCCTGGGCCTAAAGTTGACAAGAGGATGTGCTGGTGTGTGTCTATGGATTTTGAGTAAAACATTAGTGATATTTCCTGCCCCGAGAGTTACTAAGGTTCCTCGGCTTGAGTATTATGAGTGTTAATTGCATTTCTTTGTCTATCGTATCAACGATTTTCGTCACGAGTTTTACCCGTATCGAACATACTTAAGTGAGCTTTGCTAGTTTTGATTGGTGCAATAATAAATAGTATTGATGAAGCCATTTATGTCTCTCAGACGAACATGTCATCCCTGCTCGCTAAATGTACACAATGGCGATTGGCCTCAAATAGGCAGTACGATAAATCGGCGAGAAAGAAGCAGCCTTTGCATATCAGATAAAAGAAAAACGACAAAGACTTCAGTTAAAACCAACTGGAACAAAGACTTTCGGACAATATGTCGCTTGCTCGAGACGACAGCCGCCCTTCGAAGGAAAGAAAATCGGCACGAGAAAAAATCATGCCCATGTTAAATTTTGATCCCATAATTGCGGCTCGAGGTCTTGTACCCTGAAATCTGTCATGAGGCGCTAAGTTCGCAACCTCGTCAATGGAAATATGCGGCTTTAAATTTAACTTAGAAATTCGTTTCAGCGATGTTCTATGGCTGTAATTTTAGCGAGATATCAAACGCCCAGGGAATAATACAAATCCACTTGGGTACAATAGGTGCACTGCAATGAGTTCCTTAGGAGTTAGTTTATGTGCAGTCGAAATTACCTGGAAGTTATTCGAAAACATAGATGGACGAAAAACATGCAAAGTATTACACCGCTCTGTATGTATATAAAACCCCTGATAATATTCTGGAAAAAACGTAGAATAAAGTAAATCAATTATAATTGTCCACAATATTGTACATCAAGCGAATTTCCACCTGAACACGTTGGGGTACTCCTGCCCGCCAGGTGCAGAGATGTCGGCCAGGGCGGCGGTATTGCTGATCTGGGCAGCGGACGGCAGCAAGCTGTTGCCCCGCGACCGTCCGTCCGTCAACGGACTCGTGGACCCGTTCATTCCATACGATATCGTGAGCGATCTCGGGGCCGTCGGTGTCGTCTTGTGCTCCGCCGAAGATTCTTCTCCGATGGTTTTTTTGTTGGTGGATGTTATGCTCAAGGAGACATCGTTGCAGGACTGGTTCGAGCAAGAGTCCATGGGACGGTAAGGGTTGGGAGGGTTAGCCATGCTCGCGCTGCTGAAGCTAGAGCTTGTATAGCTCAATGTTGGTGTGGTCGTTAGAAGAGGACCCGGAGAAAGTGTATTGCCGTCTGGACAAGTGTTATCTGAAGACGATATGATCGGCAAGGATGAGGGAGCTAATCTAATGTATGGAGGCGGAGCAGGGTTTCCTCCGTCACTTGAGCAAAAGTTTGAGTTGTTTGGTAAGAGACCATTGCTCTGAGAACCAGTTAAGTTTGAATCATTAATTTCTTTCACTAGATGAGTACTTTCACCGGGGGACGATGTGTGCTTGTCCACTTCGAGACTGACAGTTCGGATTGGAATTGTTGGACGGGACGATGGAGAAGTGTGCTCCGGAATATTATTTGCTGCGAGGACTGCGCTAAATGAAGGTAGGCTCGACTCTGCCATGCTTCTGGCAGTTTTCCACACGCAAATCTGAGGTCCTGGTTCAGTGCTGTCATGCACTCGCATTGCACTTGCAAGCCACGAGCAGAAATTCGTGCGTGTACAACAACATTGAGCAATTTCTTACATGTTTATAATTACAACATCTCTGTAACTCTCTTGTTATACTCACGAAATATTTGAAATCAGAACGCCTGCTGTACGCTCTCACATAACCACAATCACTCGATCTAACTTATAAAGATTTTTAAAATAGGGAATTCATTTATTGAAAACTTATAATGGCTAATTTTTTGTCGCACTTTGAATTATTTAATGGCATAAATACTTCACAATTTATGCACGAGATATTACAATTTTTTTCCATTTGCTACTTTTTTAAAACACATTACTTTGTTTTCATCACAAATTTCACACGCTTTCGACATAATTCTAAAGGGTAATCAATTTAATCAAGATTTGTTTCCTTTGGATATAAATATAAACGAACTACTCATCGTAAGACTACTCAAAATAATTGTCTTTAAATCGGACTTGATAGAAAAAATAAACTTGATATACCTATATCAAACCTCCCAAACTTAACGCACTATTTACAATAACTTTACCGATACTGTTCTGATAATTTCATATTGTATTTTTTCTGGTTCTGTGAAATACATACATGTGTATATAAGATACGGTTACTGGCATAAAGTTCATGATATTACTTGAAACTCAAATAAAAAAGTATTTAAAAGCGAAGAAAATTCCAAGAAACTTAATTAACATTGTATGATTTAATATATTCAATTTCATTCGCTTTATTTTTTTCTAACTAATATTGGCGCTGTCTTAGTAAAATTTTTCGTTTTAAATGTAGGTAATTTTCTTGGAATTAACCTTCGGATTTTATTTAAAAGGGGATATGCTATCCATAGGCTTCTGAAATTGCACTTACAAAAATTCATAGCAAGTAAATGAAATTCCCCGTTCGTTATCCGTAGATTTTTAAACGTTTGTATTGCCTGAAAATATTACACGTAATTGCACAAAAATGATATTATGAATTTGTTTAAGCCAATTTCACCGCTCTAATACAGTAATATAGTCTTTGAACGAACTAGGTACTATCTTATATAAAATAATTTATTGAATATCCCATAGCATAGCATCTGATTTTAGAACCATTAGCACCACAGTCTCAAATTTTTGAAAATAAATTCCTTTCGTTGAATAAAGAAAAAAAAACATTCAAAACGCTCATAAGTTCTTGTAAAAAAATCTAACTGTGGATCATCTCAGTTATTTCATGCCGAACATATTTTCAACATTGATATTTTTAACATAGTTTCGGTATTTTACAATCAAAGAGGTGATTCTTACGCTTCAAAATATCCAGGTTTCGAAATAAACTTTTGGCAAGGAAAGTAATGCCACGTATAAATGCTAGTGACCAACTTTATATACTTGTTGCAAAGAAGAACTTTTAACAACAAGTTTTCGACAGCGCGTCCACAGGACAACCTTCTTACAAACTGAACAAAAGCTCTCACGTGCGCGTCCTAAGACCAACACAACGAAAAATCACTAGTAATTCAGCTGTTATTATATAACCAATAATAACTGTACGTTGCTTCGTAAATCCCACTTGTTAGAGCGCCCACCGCGGGGCAGCTGTGCTCGACAGCTGCACTCACAGCTACAGCTGTTACACCTGCACCATCCGACGTGCAACTGCAAGCTGCAGCAGCTGCGGCCCTATAGCTGCTAAAGCTGCATACCTCCGCGGCCACGCCACAGGAATCACAGTCACTTAAATTGAAGGTGGGATCGAGGATCGCTTGGAATTTTATTTTTAGCGCATTTTCTCATTTATGGAAAAAATGCAGTATTGTGCTCGTCATGTCCGTCTGTCCGTCAGTAACTTCACGTTTTCGTCAACGAGAAAATGCGCTCTCTGTCACTCACTGTGTAAGGGATTGGATAGGATGTTCACTTGGCTGAACAATGCAGGGACGAAGATGGCTTTGTTTTTCTTTTTGTTGGAGTGCGTCCCTAGCAACTGCACTTAGTACTGAGTTATATTTTTTTCTTCTTCTTCTCAATCGACCTGATGGTTCTTCTCAATGTAACTGTAATACTGTTATGGTGATTAAGGTACGCATTTCTTATAGGCATCGGAAGCAGCAAACAACAATTAAATATATGAATGGGAAACGAAAAACATATAAAGTGATTTTAATATTACTAGAAAAGCGTATTCTTGCATTTATTAGCGAGGATCACCAAGTCGAGAAACTTTTAATTAACTATCCTTCATTTATCCCAATCAATCTATACAATTACTAATGCCAAATTCAGGCATCAGACAACAATAAAATCTAATGACAACATTCAATTATTCTTTACGGCATTTGAAAAAACATTTTTTGTTATTTCATAAAAAACATCTCATCAGCTCAAAGCTAAGAATCTTTATTCTAAATCTTAACTTCTCGCAAACAAGAAATTTTGCAAAAGCCGCTCCGAATTCCAGAAATTTCTTCCATTCATTTCTGCGTACGCGGGAATAAATATACCGTAGTTTACCTACGTATTTCTCCCTAGGGAATATCAGGCGATGTGCCGACCATTCAATAGATGAGAATAATTACCTGCAGACGGGAACCACGCCCGACCGCATAATGGAAAGCAGCGCGTTTCCGGGTAAGAAAAAAATAAGCTCTACGTCAGATTTGGTGGTCATAAAAAGTGAAGGATGCCCTTGCCAGCAAGCAGAATCTTGCTGGCCTATGGAAAAATAGAAGAAAGTTGGGCGAACAAACATCGAGGAATAATTAATAGTAGTGTAATAATAGGGATAATAACTGAAGATGGAAACTTGTACAGACATGCAGTCAGTTTGTACGGCGGTCAATGTGGAATCGTGTTACGGAATTTTACGTTCTGAGAATTTGCTCGCAGATAGTTCAACTAAAAAGATTTGTTGTGATAAATTCTATTTTTACAGCGCATTTCCAAAATTAAAAAGTCAAAATAAGGACCAGTTTATAATATTTCCAAGCATATTTATATTGCTTAGCATTTTCGTTAAATTTAGAATCTTCGTATTTCCAATACCCTTGGATTATCAAGAAAAAATATAACTCTGTACTCACTGAAGTGAGTGACAGAGAGCGCATTTTCTCGTCGACGAAAACTTGAGGTCACGGACGGACGGACAGACGGACGGACGGACAGACAGACGGACATGGCGAGCACAATAGTGCATTTTTCATTTTTTCCATAAATGAGAAAATGCGCTAAAATGCGCTAAAAATAATGAGAAGTTGTGAATTATAGCAAGTGCATGACTAACTTTCCAGATACTTAATACTATTACGACATGAACTAATAACTAATTTGTTAATTTAATTTGATATAATTCGGAGCTGAAGAAATAAATAAGCCCATAGCCTGTCGCCGATTCTCGTACTTTTTGTGACTTGTTCAGAGATCTAAAAACCGGCCTTTTGACAAGAAAGTTCAAAAATTGACGTTGCTTAGAAATAACAAATGAACTTTTACCAGGCCCATAAGGTGCTAGGCATTTCAACAATGAAAATATGCTCCTGCATAACTTTGTCTAGGCTGTTCTTACTCGGAGCGTCAATTAGAGAGGCAGGTCCACATGTCGGTGACTCGAAAGCGAGAAAAAGTGTTGTCGCATGGATGAGTTACAACGAAGTTTTTTTTTAGTTTATAGTCGTGGCCCCAGGTGTTGGTTCTTGTTTTAAATTCTAGGAATTCTGTGACTTTGTACCAACCATGAGTATACTTATATACTTTAATGAGGTCGTCACGCCGACTTCGTTAATATAGACTTGAAAGCTTCATAATCTCGAATCTTTCTTCATAAGACTTGCCCTTTAAGACTGGAATAATCCTTGTTGCACGTCTTTGAATACTCTGGACAAAATTTTTGTTATTTTCTAGTTTCGTTGACCACACGGCGTTGCCGAGCTCAAGGTTAGAGTGCACGTTCAATATAGATCAAATTTCTTTCTAATTCCACATATATACAATGCCTTTTTCCTATCAAACATCGGAAGTGAATTTACAAAATAATTTTGATTAATTTCATTTGTATTGGTGATAAACTGCAAGCAAGGAAGTCAATGGCCTTCATCTTGTAGATGCGGCCACTCATTTCGTCCACTCCTCATCGTTTCTAGATCGTAACTCAATCAGTTCTGCCCTTAAGTTCGTACTCTGGTAGCGCTTCTGTAATGACGCTTCATTGGGCTAACAAGTTTAAAGTCGGCTCCAGCTGGCCGGCAAGACAAGACATGGCATCACGTGTTCTATTTCAGCAGGACGACGTGTAAGGTTTTTATCGTTTATTGTCCTATAACGAAACGTGCTTGGAATTTCCAGGCATGATTTTGTGGAACTCTCTTCACGCAAGGGATCAAGACACACTAAGGAAATAATCATGGAAGGAATAGATCTGAAACGACACAATTAAAAACTTCGGACGGTTTTCACGGCGCACTGTGGATTTTTTCGTTTGCCATTTGAAACGAAATGTTCCATTTGATACGGAGGAGCGACGAGAGGGCGTTGGAAGATTGAACTTCATCAAGAGGGTTCACAGGAAACTAAAGGACACTTCGTATCTACTCTTATATGCTGGCAGGGAAGCTCGGCGTTGCTCGAGATAGATAAATATTGATCTTTAATAACCCCTTCATGACCTTTAATCCAATAATCATGCATTTTAAATTGAAAATATATTAATTGAAGAAAACTGTTCAAGCCCGAATTCAACATATAGCCACCAATCAACAAAGAATACCATTCAAATCCAGTTTTGAAATTAGACGCTTTTTCTTACTCTAGAATCACGTTAATTTTATCAAATTTCAAATTAAATTTACACTTTCGATTACACTTCCTTTGATGCCCCCAGGATACCATCACAAACAATAAAATGTCAGACCCATATGATATTACGAAATGATAGGTATGTGGCTGGTGTAGATAGTGCCAGGCTTCAAACTCACTAAAAAACTTTCCAAAATACATCACATAAATACGAAAGTTTTTTCTATTTCATGTCCGTGACCGATGTCTAACACTAAAAGAAAATATGAGCTATTCGTGCTCGTATCCACGATACCAGCAACGTATTCAACATGGACCTAGAATTTCATCTCGACAGAGTGTCGCGTAATCACAGAACGCAAACATAAAACTAGATCTTCCAAAATTAAGTAAATATTGAAATTGAAGTTAAAAAAAATCGAATCAACAGCAGATTGAAAATAAAAGAGAAGAAATCTTTGTAAAATGGGAGCAGCGGGTGTTTTTACGTTTCACAGTATTTCATTGAAATTCTTACTTATAACAAGACAGATGGTGGTTTTTGGAACCGTAAAAAACCGAACCATTCCGTTCACTTTCCTCTTCATCATGAATATAAAAACCTAGCTATGCAGGAGCATTTGTTCAGTCTTAAAATGCCTAGCAAATTACGGAGCAGGCAATAAGTCCAGCAGCTATCTCAATCAATCGTCAGCTATGGAAAGATCGGGTTCCAAAAGCCGGATCCCTTGTGAATCAAGTCACGAAAAGTTCAAAAATCGGCAACAGGCCATGGGCCTATTTCTTCCGTGCCGACACTTCTATTCTATTCTAAAGGAATAATGAGCCTATTACATGTCTAGAATCATTTAAAAATAGGATCCTCCTAGTTTAAAAGTTACTCATCAAAATTCCCGGTTCCCTCAAAAAATGAAACAATTCTTAATATCTTTTCAAAGTTTTCATTATATTTATTAAAAATTAGATAGTATCATAGATATTGCACACTCTGCCAAATGATAATAAACTCCAACACAACTAGATATAAAACATATAAAGAATAAATATATATTTTCAATAACAAGATATTCATGTATCAAGACATAAGGCCTCATTGTATGAACTTTAACAACCCACACAAAAAATATTTCATGAACGCGAAGTAGGATAAACACCACTCAGCACTCAAAGTGCGACGAAGAAATTCTTACCGAAGATATATTCACTACTTAATGCTAATAATATACACATTTAAATGTACTCTTCAAGTCATTGCACATACACTGAACTATTCACCAGAGAGATTGCAAGAGGCATTAAAAGTGATGATGTAAGCTACCTTCCGTTGTCATCATCATTGTGATGCGCTATGATGAAAACCATCATCAGCATCACCCCTATCATACCATTCATATAACCACCCCATACTACGCTGTGACAGTTAGAAGACGATGTGAAAATAAAAGACTAGACCTAGTAAAATTAATTAAGCTCTTGTCTGTTTTTATTTAATTATTAAATCAGCAATCATCTCTCACCAAGCACTATTAGTAACTTGATAAAATCTCGGTTATTGACTCAAGCTGTCATTAACCAGCTAATAACAAAGTATAGTGGTATCACTTAAATCCATATTTACAAAAGTAATTTCGAAAAATATCTAAATAGTTACCACAAACAATGCACGCAGTGACGGCGATTTTCCATTTCAATATGCAAAATTTCATACAATTAATATTGCTTATAATTTCATACTTTCATTTCCATTCCATTCAATGTGAAAGAAGGAAATTAATATTTAAATACAAAAGTAAATGTCAATATGGCCAACGGCCATAGAATAAGTATGACTATAAAAATTATCAAGGCAAGACGGCATAGGTATGCAGGTGATACCAAGAGGCAAGTAACACAGTGTTGGTCTTCAAGCGCCACCAAGGCAAGACGGCTATGGTCGGTAGGAGATATCAAACCAAGACAGCTTATGTCTGCAAGCAACACCTTGGTAAGACGGGTAAGGTCTGTAGGAGATATCAGGGAACACAGCTTAGGTCTGTAAGTGACACTAAGTATGACAGCTTAGGTCAGTAGAAGATTTCAAGACGAGATGGCATGAGTCTTCAAGAGGAGATGAGCAAACTTCTCGACGCTGTTATTGACGGCACCTGAAGAGTCGTAGTCGTCACACACCGTCACCACCTGCAGCAGCCCTTGTGTCCTCACCAACTCGGTACTGCACACCTGCGTGGGTCGTCAAGAGATTGTTAATTCGTCAGCATCAAAAGTCTATCAAAAATATTGCTACGTTATTCATACACATATCTTGAAGTTTTTTGTGACACCAAATTCTGAGAGTTTGTGCTAAATCTATATGTTGTTCTAATTGGATGCCACATGGGAAGAAATCTACAGAATAATGAAAGAAACATCTTTATGGAAGTAATTCCAAGACCAGGTTAGGTAGGACTTAATGATCTGAAAGAAAGATCGTGAGTGAAAAATATTCTTTTAGATCACAAAATTTTAAATAAAGATTGAAGACGTTCCACACAAAATTAGAAGGAATCGTGTACAGATCTCACAGTATTCACACATAGTTACTTAGGCAGTCACCTCTCGACTATGAGTAGCAGAAACAACTGGTCTGCATCGCTTGTTTCTGGATGCCAAGGCAACGTATTGGTCGAGAGTCAGGCGGTAAACATAGCGGTTGAGCAGCGCAGTGACGTGGCCGTGAGCAGAGGCGGACGTCTCTGATGCAGCAGACCATCCTGATATTTGGCTCAATAGGTCAGGTGATAGAACAGGCACTATGTAGTCGACCTGTAAGGATTAAATAAAAATAACACATTCGTTTCCTTGACCTCGATTAGATATGAGAACCATCAATCACACAGCAAATGACTACTTATGCAACCCCATAAATAACACTACCTACCAAAGTTAAAATTCAATATAAAACAATATTTATTTGCAAGACTTGACGTTATCAGAAGGGATATCTGTGTTTCGTGCACCCAACTGACAAAAAATCTTGGCCATGATTGATACATTAACTATGAAAAAGGTTTTGGTCTACATGCAAAGCTCATTGATGGTAGATAATTAATCATTTCATACTGTAAAGAAAGTCATAGAGTCAACAGTCATGAGTGACACATCAAAAGTGACACGTCAGAAGTCAAAAGTGGCACGTCAGAAGTCAAAAGTGACATTCTATACACACCGACTAGTAGTGACTGAGTGACTGACTGCACTGTTCCCATTTTATTCAGACCAATAAACCAATACTAAACATAAACTGAACGATAACCAAACAAACCTCATACGACTTGAAACAAGACTTAAGTTATGAGAAAAGCTAACACTGTTTGAAATAAACATGTGCACAATTCAAATATTTTATATCCATTCACTGCTTTTAATTATTTTATATATAGTCTTATAATTGTAATTGTTTTGTTTCTAGTTTTAAATTCACATATTTAAATATTGAAATAAAATATTTTAATTAGAATACTCTTATTGGGGTGGAAAATCTTTCTAATTGCCTAAAAGGCCAATACAATCTCAACCTCTCAATATACAGGGTGGAACAGAACCGATTGAGCAGTTTTGAGATAAAATAAAAGAGTAATGGAGGTACATAAAGAAGAAGTTTATTTTCCTAGAGGTTAGCATAACATACCATTTAGAATACTTATGTTTTGAAAACAATATCAGGAAGATGGTGTTTGTTAGCTGCAACACACTGTTGGAGTTGTTCTCAGAAGAGGGAGTAACCCCAACAGTGAATTCCGATCGCTATGCTGCAATGTTGCAAAATTTCTTGCAGTCCATGATGGAAAACATTGTTGAAAATAAAGCATTGAGAGACGTGTGATTCCAGCAGGATGGGGCTACAGCTCACACAGCTCGAATGTCACTCAATGTTTTGAAACGCATGTTTCCCGTAGGTCTGGTGTCTCTGAGGGGCGATTTACAGTGGCCTGCAAGGTCACCTGATTTGAGCATTTGCGATTTCTTTCTTTGGGGACATCTAAAAGAAAGGGTGTTCAGAAGTCGCCCTCACACCCTACCACAGCTAAGGGAACGGATTATTGCAGCAGAGGTTATGGTCATACCTCGCCATATATATGAGTGAATGTGCTGTAGAAAACTTCCGAGAACGACTCCAACAGTGTGATGCAGCTAACAAACCCCTTCTTCCTGATATTGTTTTCAAACAATATTTTAAATGGTATGTTTTGCTAATCTTGAGGGAAATAAACTTTCTTCTTTATGTACCTTCATTACTCTTTTATTTCGCCCCAAAACTGTTTAATCAGTTCTGCCCCACCCTGTATAAGCTAGCTAACACATTTAAATTGTATATTGTAATCAATATATAACAAATAGTCAAATAGTTGAAGACTACTTATACCTTTATAAGAATTAGCTAAGCTGCTAGCTATGTGCAATGTACTGCACAATTGATGCCTCTGTACCAAAAACATTCAATTTATTGGAACCTAATACACACTAAAGGCAACAAATTTATATACCAATTTGTCATTCATAGTACATTTATAATAAACCATGAATAACAATACCTCAATATAAATTAAAGACTGCCACTCAATATTTTTAAATATATGAAAAAATCAAAAAAATCAAATAAATCGAAAAAATCAAAAAAATCATGATTTTTTTATAAAAAAATCAAGTGATTTAATCACATGATTTAATCATTTTGATTTAATCATTGCCAACCCTGGTCAAAAGTGACACGTCAGAAGTCAAACGTGACACGCCAGAAGTCAAACGTGACACGCCAGAAGTCAAAAGTGACATGTCAGAAGTCAAAAGTGACACGTCAAAAGTCAAAAGTGACACGCCAGAAGTCAAAAGTGACACGTCAGAAGTCAAAAGCGACAAGTCAGAAGTCAAAAGTGGCACGTCAGAAGTGACAAGTTTAAAGTCAAAAGTAGTACCTGAGTGAACCATTTGTACAGGAGCGAGTTAGGATCTTGCATGAGGAGGTGCTGCTGTTCCTGCAGCACAAGGACTCCAATGCGCCCTCGACCATTGCTAGAACGCAACTGACCGTACAACTGCAACAGGCATCAGACTTCAGTTGAACGGACATAAAAAATTGAATAAAATTAAAAGAATATATAGGTATGTAACTTGATTACAATAACTTGCAACACAAATAATACATTGCAGGTAATTAAGCAATGATTTTTAAACAGCTCGAGACTCAGGTGCATTCCCAATCAAGCCTTTATTCATGATAGTTTTTTAAAATGATTGAACTTCAAATCCCTAATATTTTATTAATTAAGTTCATGACTATGGGAATAAAGAAAGTTAATTTAAAGCACTGCATACAAGATCAATAAATTAACAGTTAGATGTAGGATTTACAAATACGAGCTCATCAATTGGATGGTACTGACCTTAGTAGCAAATTCGCTGGAGTCATTGGCATAGATCATCAAGATGCTACAAGCATATGGTGTGGTCTTTTTCTTAGGACTTGTTATTTGACTAGGTGTAAAGGAGGCACTGAAGGATACTACATTTGCATCTTTGCACTCAACCTCATCCCTTTCGTTCAAAGCCAGGTTATGTGAAACAGCTTGGAGCTTACAAGCTTCTTCTTTTAGCTGATCTACAAGTCAAAAGTTAAACACAAAATTATCAGAAAGGAGAATACACAGTACCTACTTCCCAATAAACAGAAGGAAGCTAGTAATTTACAGTTACTACAACAGATGCTACAGTTACTTGCAACAGATAAATGTCAAATAAAAAAGCATGTCTACATACAATCGTATGAAATTTGATGCAAGTTTAAAATATGATACATATATCAAAATAACTACTATGAAACATGAAAAATATTTAGAAGAAATATTTCATTCAGGTTTTTAGATATTCTTTGAACATAAAAAAAGCATCACATTCAGAGAATTTTTATTACTTGGTTGCATATTCATACATTCATAGAAATTTTTATGATTTTTAGATAATTTTCTTAATTAGTTGAATCATACCAATGCATTGTTGCCACGGTATCCTGGATAGCAGGTCATGACGCCCTAAGCTGATGAGATGCTTAAGGAGATGGTACAGAGGGATGCCATCATCTGTTAACTTCTGCTGCTGTAACTTGGAGAAGACAGCAGCAGTGGGCCCAGCAGGACCACAATACTTGCTGCACCACTGAAAATGAACATCAATATGATTTTCATACGTATTTCAATACCTCAATCCTAAAGATACTACCGGACCTCTTAACTAAAAGGATTGTGAAGTTTTGATATTTTTCAATTCAAAGTTGTAATTAAGTAGTAACTAACAATCTTTAGGCTAATTACACTTTCACAAACAACATAATTTCAATTTCTTCAATCTACTAATTTCAACCAACAATTAATTGCTGGAAGTAAAAACAAAAAAAATTAAGTGGGTAAAATAAACTGTTGGATACAATGTAAACAAACCATAAGCAATTGGAACCATTAAATTTACAGAACTGCTACATCAGGATATGAATATAAACTAATATTAGGAACCACATAAAAAGAATTACTGATTTTCATAGAATTTTGTATTAGAATACAAGCTATAGCTGGTCATGAACCTTTATTTGATCAGCATTCAAGCCAAAATTCTGTGCAAGTTGCTGCCAGCCAGTCCCATCATCCAGGGAGATGTCAAGCAGAGTGTAGAACCACAATCTGTGCTTTGGGAATGTGGCGCTGAAGCTCTCCCATGAGATGCCCTCAGCATTCGACACCCAATCATATTTTCTGGAATTGTAAAATAGGAAATAATTCTTTCTGGAAAATATGACAGGAAAGTGCAAATATTTTCCCCCTGAAAAACATTGATTTACATAAAACCTTGAAAATAATTTCTAGCTCTTAGGAAATTTTGACATTTGCATATATATCATAGTTACTAAACACAATAATACAGTAATTTAGTAAATGAAAAATCACATTAAGTAAAGAATAATGAGCAGCAACTGAAAATGGCAACTTTTATACTAATCATTGAGAAGCTTCCTGTATCATTGGTGATGGCTTCTTTAAATGTGTGCAATCCAAAGCCTCCTGTTTTGGCATGGGAACCTACAGGGGTAAAATATATCTACCTGAGCCAAAACAATAGCTTTCATGCCATTTTTGAACCTACGAGACTTTTGCTACATGAATTACCTACTATCTTATTGTTAACTAAAGATAAAGTTGAGGCTACAATATTCCAAATTTATGGAAAAATTTACACTTCAGGGCCAAAAATTTCAGTATTAAGTTTGAAAATTCCAATTCTAGCAACTTGGATTATAAATAGCTAACTTGGATTGAATATCTTCTACCTTGCTACCTATACAGACTTTATAGCCATTTAGCCTGATATACATACTAAACATAGGCTAGGTCCATTCAAATTCTAATTTTTAAACTAGATGACTGAGCTTTACAATTAAATTTCAACAAATATATCTATGTAATTTTGGAACCATGAGATGTCATTTCAGCATACGGTACAGCTAAATATTCCAAAATTAATTTGCATATTACATTGCTGCTGGGCTGAGCCAAACTGGAAAATTGATGGAAGCCATCCATGAATGAAGAAAAATGCCTGCGATTATAAATAACTTCAGACATTCAGCACATTTTTACCAAAGTAAAAATGTGTCGATTTACAATAAAAAAAAATTTTTAATGTAAATAACTTTAGACAAAAACAGCACCTTTTTACCAAAGATTTTCCAAATCTACATATAAAACAATCTTTTTTGCCTGGAAAATATGGAAAATTCTAATCAAGATTACAGATAGGCACTAGGCAATGCTGGCTGCAGAGAATGCTTTATTTAATCAAGATGCAATTTTTTTAGTAAATCAGGTAATACATAAATTTTTGGTTATTGTTTAAATAGAATTTTGGTATGCATCTCCCACCAGGCACCAGCCACCTGCCACTGTGACAGTGTGACCTTGGCTAGTACCAAGACTTAATAATAATATGCATTTAAAATTTGCTTTTTAAAGACAACACTTCTGAACAATCCAGTATCTTGGATGTTACACATGTACAATGAATTTCTAATTTCATTTTCAAATATTGAACAAAAATTATTCTTCAAATTTTTTCAAGATATCAAAATTTTGTAAATTTTGAAAATTATTTATTCTGTCAATTGATTCATGCATTGTCTCTGACTCTCTGACTTTATGCAATTGTGCAAAATTTCAGATCAATTGGACAGGTCAAATTGTGTCATTTATGGATTATAAGATTTGTAGATGAAATTATTTTTTAATTTTTTTTTTAATATTGAAAAAATTTTTTTTATTAATAAAATTATTTATTCTGTCAATTGATTCATGCATTGTCTCCAACTTTACGCAAGTGTGCCAAATTTCAAATCGATTGGACAGGTAAAAGTGTGTTAACCCTTTACGCCCTGGCGTGACGAATTCGTCACACCAGGGACTAGCTAACTTTTCCAACAATTTCACGTTTTCTGTCATTTTTTCAAAAAATTCACAGGAATAAAAAGTCTTAGATTTATTTTTCACATATGTGTACCAAGTTTCAAAGTTATCTGACAGTAAATAACCGAAATATAATTTCCAATTTCCAATGGCAATGTCCAATTTCTTATGGAAATTCTATTTCGGTTATTTACTAACAGATAACTTTGAAACTTGGTACACATATGTAAAAGATAAATCTAAGACTTTTTTGTTTGTAGGAATTTTTCAAAAAAAGTGAAAGAAAATGTGAAATTCTTAGAAAACCGCCAAAAAGGGGGTACTGTAGAAATCTATCTCCTCCTATGATTTTCAAGCTACAACATCGAGTTGCATATCATTCGATGCGTAAGGACAGTATCTATCGATTGGTTCTTGCTGTTTTTCGAAATTCTAATTTTTGTGGGTGGGCCCGGTGGGGTGGGCATTTTTTGAAAAAAAAATTATTTCTCCCCCCACCCTTTCAAACTTCCCCTCCCCTTTTTTCAAAATATTTTCAAAACTTCAACGAAATTGAAAAAAAAGCTTCGACCAATCTCTAGATCTTTTATTTGCGAATCAAACGGTTTATTACTCATTGCTGTAGCTTAAAAACTCTGGGAGGAAATAGGTTTACAGTGACAATAAGTGTGAATGTTCAGTAGAGCGCGACAAAGTCCCGAGCGCCTCAAAATAGGCATTCAAGGTGACATGGATGCAAGACTAGACACTACTGGAGCCATAGTGGCAAAGCAGAGAGTTTTTTAGACTCTCCCTCAAGTTCATTTGTGAGTCCTATAAGTAGACCAGTAAAGTATCCTGGATACCAGCAGTATCATACATAAGAAATTGATTTAAATCTTGGGTAAATGAGGAAATTAAAAATGAACTGATTCTAAAAAATCTGTGGTTTGCCACTATGACTGGAGCCGAAATTCAGTCAAGGATAGTGGGAACGACTGCATGAGCACCATCCCACACAACAGCAGCCGGGTAACTAAAGCTCAGCGTCTTCAGGTTGCATATTTATGTGCCCAACCAGTAATTTTTGCCTATATTAAATGTGAAAGAACTCCCCCACCCCCACCCACCCCTAACACTTTCACAAACTGTTGTCAAGGCATAAATCAACGTACAGAGATGATTTTGGTACCATTGGATAGGTCAGAATGTCAGCTTCAAAGCAAGACTTAAAACAAAAAAGTGAATTTTATGATTTTTGTCCCAGAAATTCAGGGCGTAAAGGGTTGAATATCGATTATAAGATTTGTAGCAGACAGACAGACAGACAGACAAACAAGAAGTGAAATTAAAGAGGAGTGTTGTAAAAAGCTCCCTATTTAGCCCTATTATCAGATAATACAGTGATTTCAGTTATTATGCCAAGATCAAGATGCACTTCTCATCAAAAATGTATTTAGCCCTATTGCCTCTATATACTATACCTAGACCTAGTATACAATTGAATAAATTAACTCTATGCTTAAAATCATGATTTTTTTTACAAAGACACAAACATACATTCATTGACTGATTGATGAAGCAAAATTTTCAATTTTTGTTTCTTTAATAATGATTCCAATTTCCATAAACTCATTATTATTGTTAAATACCTTTTTTCTGTTTCGAAGTGAAGTTCTGATACGAGGTCGTCTTCCAATGACTGTTTTTGGCTAGGAATATCCATAGCGCACAAAAACCTAGTCCAGTCGAAATGTAGGGAACTAATTGAAAATAGGCTAGCTGTTGTTGAAAAAGGTAAACTATAGTTACCTACATTATATTATTAAACAGTTGAATAAAAGTTGTTCAAAAAGTTAAAACAAACTATTCGCCAACTCATTTATTATTACTAGGTAATAGCTTACTGCCTTACTTATGCAAAATAACATGTAAAAACGAAATTCGTAATAAAAAAAATAGCAAAATTCTATAACGTATTATGTCAAGTTAGTCACTACATACTAAAAAGCTGCTGCAACTTAACTGTACTGCATTCACGTTTTCCGCTAAACATGGTTGTAGAACGCGGATGCACCGATGCACCATATGAGCCGTCAGAGCTGTAATGATGTTGCCCGAGTTTGAGAAAGTCAGTTGCGTTCACGGCGAAAGCACGTGTGTGGATTGCGATCTCTAAAGTAACCGGTAAATTTGTGATTTGAAGACTCTTAGTTTCTAAAAGTAATTATCATCATATTTGTTTCCTCACTAACCCGACTGGGCCTTCTCCCTCAGAGGTTTGCCGGTCCGCATTGTGTTTTTTTTTTTCCTTTTCCCATTCTTTTTTCTGCCCCTTTAATTTTATTTTGATGGTTTTGTTTTCTGATATTTTTGTTTATTTTGACTTTTGTTTTGTCTCTTCCTTATGGAAGTTTCTATCTGCCTTACGGGGTCAGGTTTTGGCCCGCCTATGGTGATTGGAGCAGCTGAGGCTTGTGTACTACAGTGTACATAGTGGCGAACCAGAGATTTTTTAGAATCAGTGCATTTTTAATTTCCTCAATTACTCAATATTTAAACCAATTTCTTATGTATGATAATGCTGGTATCCATGATACTTTACTCGAGTTTACTGGTCTACTTATAGTAATCAAAATTGAACTTGTGGGAGAGTCTAAAAAACTCTCTGCTTTGCCACTATGCTTGTGTAAGTGTTGAGGACATGGTGGCAGGGAATTATTGTGAGTACTTATGCGTTTGCAAGAGCATCGACCGGTCCGGCTCAGCGGGGGGGGGG